GCCTCACACAGGGTGACTGGCTGTCTACATGATGTGGCCTGCCCACTGTAATACAGATCATACATCCAAGCCCTCGATTGGTCTTCGTGTGTCATTCAACCTCAGGAGGGTGTGTGTATGTGTGGCACGAGAGAGAGAGCGCATCGGTTACTTGTATTGTTGTTGTTAGCATCTGGTGCTAGCTAGCTGCTCTAACGGATATAAGGAGCAGTTTCAACAACAAGTTGGAGGGAGAGCTCTCTACTGTCAGACTGAGAGGCTGATAACTATAGCTCAGTGAGGTAAAGGACTCTCCGCGTTTAGTTAACTTAGGCCACGTTTACACGGAGATGAAAACAAAAACGAACCATAAGGCCCGGACACACCAATCTGACAACAAAGAACTGACACAGACGGACCCCGACTGTTGTGTCTCCTCCCGTCTCTGCGTCTTGGCCATGTGTCGCACTGGAACACACCGCAAAGATTTCAGGTGACAGCCAAGAAGTACGTGCGAACTGCGCATGCGTGAGTGGCAATAACTCTCCTTAGCAGCAGGCGGCGGTAGTGTGCATTCGTCATTCAAAAGAGTCAACAACCGGAAGACAGACTGCGTGATACACCGAGAGAAGAGGAACAGACTGGTGATATAAACAAACAACGAATAGCGTGTGCATTCCATTTTCACTCTACAGAGAGAAGCTCACGGGGCTTTCCCCAACCTGTGTCGAGAGCTGGAGTTAAATGAAATCTCACATTTGCCTTCTTAATAGTTTGTTTGGGTCCCTCACTTCCGTTTCGCTTCTCATGCACTGATTCGCTAGCTGAACAGCCAATCAGAGTGATTTATTTTGCCGACTGCCGTTTTCGACCGAAAAGGTGTCGGCCCGGCTGAAAAGATCCGACGGTGCGGGGCACACCAATCTGAGTAGGGCGTATCGACGCTCATCGTCGGCCTGACGCCCACCGACGCCGATAATCGGCCTGGTGTGTCCGGGCCTTTAGAGGGAGTGCAGGTTTAGGGCACTTCCACACACTTGGAAGATTGCTCACTGGGCGTCACCTTTTTTTGGCCAAGCCCCGTCCACTTCAATCAGTGAGAAGAGCATAGAGGCTTTAAGATGAGATGGAACTTCATTTTTCACTTTGGGAAATCCAGCAGCAAAAGTGTCAGAATGAAAAACTGAAACTAATTTAATAATACAGCAAAAATGAATTGATAAAGCAACTATTAAAACGAGATATCACAGTAAAAAGTTCTGATTCAGACTCATGAGGCTGGAAGTCGAGCTTAAAGGGGACAATTTCATTTTTTTTGTGTTAAATTAGGTCTTTTTTTTTGTTGCACTTGGATGTACAGGATATGTATAAGAACAGGATGAAGAACAACACCTGTCTCTCTGTTTCGCCGTCAAATTCAACGGGTTGTGGATCTATTTTTTTGTCTAGGCTGCACTTGATTTTGGAGAAGAGACAGATGGAGAGGACTACGTTCTCCTCAAAATCCATCCGAAGAAATAGGAAGTGTAATCAAACTTCAGTAACTCTATAACTGAAACTTGCTCAGCAGGGACAGCACATCGAAGCCTCTCGCGCTGACACATCATCCACTTAGACCCTTTGAACAAATTGCATCTGAATGATTAATAGGACCTTGAAGGTGTCAGAACACATGTGTCCAAACCCAGCGTGAGTGGCGGGGGCAGCCACTTTTTGAGCGATGTGGTGTTTATTTAATAAGCAGGTTGGTTGGAACATGTCAATTATTTGTGGGCACTGGGAGGCGAGGGAGGGGGAGAGGTGGGGGGGGGGTTGTGAGGACTTGCGGTAAATGGAAGATGAAGCGAGAAAGGAGCAATCTGCAGTGGGTGTGTGTTTCCGTTTGTGTGTTTCTACGTGATTGCAGCGGCCCTAATGGATTCCAGGAGGGGAGCTGTAACAAACACAAGGGAAATCAAACAGTAGAAATTACACAACATCGCATCGAGAACACGCCGGCAGGTTTGCGCTCTACCCCTCGATCCAATTACACAGCTGAAAAAATAATATTCATTTTTTCAGCCCGTTTAGAATTTAACTTGTATTGTGGCATATTATAATTGACTCAGTATACTGGAAAGAGACAACAGAAGGGTTAGACTGTATCTCTGGAGCCACATGTATCGTCCTGGCCTGAGATCAAATCCCTGCAGTACCTCATCTCCAGCGTGTTCTCCAAAGCCCAAACCATCCTACTCTTTCCGTGATGAAAGGAGCCCAGTGGGTGTCGACCACAATGCCATTTGAAAAGCCCTGAACGTGCTTATTCAAACCCGAGAGCTCATTCATTATTCAACCTAAGCCGTGCAGTCATGTATAATTTTGTCAGGGTTCAACTCGTGATTTATTGCTGATGATGTGCAAGTTTAAAGTCAATTCCAGCCTTTCTGTCAGAACCTCTGAGGCCTCGGAGGCAAAACACAACATGTTACAGAGAAAGAGCCTGCTAGTGTCTGCCAGATTTGCTGCAACGCTCACAACATCAACGATGAAGCATCAAAGAGAAGCCGAGTCTAGACAACAGATCCCACCTCGGTCCATCAGAGCGTTCGACTTAATGAGAGCAAACATACTTGGTCAAAATACTGTCTGAGTGAAGAGAAGAAAGTGTAACAAAAAAGTATTGAAATTTGGTGTAAAGCCTATGTTATTTACTGCAGTATAGAGAGGAGTTGGCCAAGGCTGGAAGTAAAAAATTGTAACTGGCATGCCTAACCCTCACGGCCCGTCCACACTACAGCTTCAAAAAAAGCTTGCCGGCGGGCGTGTCTGAAGCTCGACCAACAACCAATCACATGAATCTCCCGCCCCTGACACACAAGCAGCGGTTTGATTGGCTAGAGCTTGTACTGGCATATGATTTGATTGGCTGACGCTTCCACCGAAAGCTTCAGAAGCTTCAAAAGTTGAACATTGCTCAACTTTTGCAGCCTGAAACGCCAGGAAAGCTCCGCTCTGCTACCCACAATTCAGTTCGGCGAAAAGCGAGGCAACGTGACGTCACCCCATTCAAAGTGAATGGGCAGACGCGTTGGAAAACCGTTTTTGAAGCTGTCGAAGCTGTAGTGTGGACGGGCCGTAACACCTCAAGTAGGGCAGACTCTTTTAAAGTAGGTCTTGACATTTTCATCACCATGTGACTGGATATCAATCTCCGTCCTTTTACTTCACTTTTGACCACTTTGAGTAACCCTGAAGTCCAGCAAACTGTCCTTCAAACTAATGCAGCACTTTCTACATTTTCAAGATGTTTTGAAAGCCGTCTGCTTTAGATCAACCCAAATCATATCGTCCTTCAGTTTAGTGCTGACAACTAGGGTACATTTCATCTGCCTAGTGTACCCTTAACACCTGAGGTCTGGAAATGTGATATTAATACACAGAACAGCACTTTTTCATAAAAATAACAGATCTGAAGAGTGATAGTATTTCTTAGAATATCTACAAACACATTTGAATGGTAGGTATTGTTTCTGTTGTGGTGCAGAAACATTCATTTGTCTGGTTTACCATGCCTGAATCAGTCATTTGAAAACGTCAAATAAAGACAGAATAGTCTACGTACTGACAGCACATTTGATCCACTTGTACACAACGCATTCAGCCAAAAAATACCTTTTAACTAATTAACAAATGACTGATGAGATCCTTTAAACTGGAAGAACACTCAATTTTCTCTCAATCACTCACTAAGGCAATGAATGAATTAGTGGATACAAACTGGCTATGAAAGTGCATTATCATGCTGTAATAAAAGCATGCCGTTAAACCACCAGAAAGAGAGGTTTGAAGCAGCTTAAAATCAAAATACAGAGCAGCTCTCAGTCAGTTTCTAAACCCCCCCCCCCCTGCTTTAGGGCTGATTGCCTCGGCTGCCAGCTGCCAGGTTCAATTGATCCTCAGTGGATGTTTTCCAAATCTTTTCTTGGAGCTGTGGAGATCTGGCAGCTAATTTATGGACACCATCTGTCAAAAAGGCAGACAGCTTCCCGAAAGTAATTTACCTGCAGAGGAGAATCGAGGCTGTCGTCTTCCTTCACCGTCGGGGTGCGTTTGGTGGTGGTGGGCACCTCGTACGTCATCACACTCCATCTGAACACAAACACACACCTGTGTCAATGTCACGCGACAGAATATACATTTTAAAAAAAAATCGGATTATCAGATTGAGATAGGAGGAGAGGACACTGTGGGTGTTTCTCAATGCCGAGGAAGGCTGCTCCAGAGCCACGCATACTACGTCATCGAGTGCCGTGGAATTCTACCGAGGCCGGCGTCCTTCGTAGCGAGAAATTTCGAGGCTGCACATGTGTAGACTCCGCGGTCTTAAAATCTCCACAATGCTTTGCGCACGGACCAATTTCCCCAAATCTGTGGTGGAAATTGTAAGGCGGGGCCTCTCATATGACGCACACTTGCTAGCCTGTTCCACCATTCTTCGTTTTCCGAATGCCAGGAAGTATTCTTGCCTCGCTTATGAAGCAAGTGACTCGGAAGACATGTGCTACCAAGCAAGCGTCCTCGACATTGAGAAACACCCAGGGAATTAAAAAAAAATGCAGCCTGGGATTGTACCGCAGATAAAACAGCAGACCAACAAAAATCTATCTCTAGTTCAAAGACGTTTTCAACATGTTGAACACAGATAGGATGTGTTTTTACCCTATTTGAGTGATATGCTTTTAATTTGTTGCTTGAAAAGGATTTTGCTTACAAGTTAGAGGAACATGTCAGGAAAGCTTTAACAAATTTGCAAAAAACGGTGCTATAAATGTTGCTAAACGCTTCTGAAAATGTCCCGTGACGGTGCAAAATGTTTTGATAAATGGTGTTAGACTGCTTCTAAAAACAGTGCTTAAAATTGTGCTAAACTATTCTAAATAAACAGTGCTAAGAATAAAGCTAGACAGTGCTAATAATGGTGCTAAACTTCACTGCAACTAGTGCTAAACGGTGCTAAAAAGTGTGCTAGGTTGTATTAAATTGTGCTAAAAATGGTGATGAACAGTGTTAAAAGAAATGGTGATAAATTGTGCTAATGATGGTGCTAAACTAAACTATAACTAGTGCTAAACTTTACCAAAACTAGTGCTAAACGGTGCTTAATTGTGCTAAATAGTGCTAAAAACGGGGCTATACGGTTGTTTTCTTTTCCCTCTCAGGTCTCACCGGTCCAGCATCTTGGTGGTGGCTCTCTCCAGCTTCTCCAGGATCTGCAGCAGCTGGGCATCGTCGTCGCAGAGCCCCCCCCAGCCCAGCACGCGGGCCAGGTCGTTCCCCGTGCCCAGCGGCAGCACGCCCAGCTGGCACTGCAACCGAGAACAACATGTCATCAGAAAACTAACGGATCATTTCCACTCCCATCTTAAAGCTGAACTGAGTGCTGCAGACTGTGAACGTACCGTAGGAGAAAATCAGGTCGAATCTTGAATACAAGTGAAAAACATCACACTTGGTACCCCTTAACATTAACTAATGTGTTTCTTTAATCAAATATGACCTTCAATTATTCAAACCTTTTTGACACGGCACTTGTGTTTTCAAATTAAAAACCATGTTATCCGTCATGGCACTTTATTAAGTCAGATTAAATCCATGACATTATTTAATTACATGAGGTAATCAGTGTGGTAGTGAGGCATAACCTACCTCACTTTCTCTTCAGTCCTGTCCTTTCTATCGATTTTTTAAATACCACCTTATTTATAAAAACATACGAAGGGCTGGGCCGCTCACTAGAGGTATATTGCCTCATAACAAGTTAAGTTATAAGTTGGAAAAGTCAATCCCATGTAGGTGAATTATTCTTGATTAGAAGAAAACAGCTCACAGCTCTCCAGAGGTTTTCATTTATTTTGTTAGCAGCTCATTTGTTAAAACAGAAGCTTCAGAGTGATTATAATAAGAGGGAATATGAGGGCTGTATTTCAAGCTTGTTAGGTAAATAAGTTATCAGGCTTTTTTAACATCAACTTAGATTTGTTCGACTGAATTGATTTGAAAATTGGGCTTTTTAACACATGAATACTACTGTGTAATATATTTGAACATATATATTTAAGAAGTACAATATAAGACAAGCAGAAGTTTATTATATTGAAGTCATTATACTTTTTGTGTGTGAGGGCCGACTCAAAATGGTCAGCGGGCCGTAGTTTGGACACCCGTGATCTACAGCAACATATTACAAAATGTGTCGTACTTTAGTTCTAATAGAGATTTTTATCATCAGCATTATAGGTAACTTGCTGCTTTCTCTTTCCTTCAGTGTTTTCGACAATTACCTGACTATTATATCACACCCCCC